CATCACTAAATGCACAGGTGAACCCCCTCTCCAATTTGTCACTCTCTCAACTACACTAGGTCTAGTTTTCCAGGCAGACACAAGAGATCGTGGCTTTCAGGAGGTGTCTGGTCTCAGAACCCAGTCCTCGAACTTCCTTGGATGGGGTTAGGGGAGGACCCAGCCGGGCGCTGGTGTCTCAGGCCTGTTTATCCCAGCTACTCAGGAATAGAGGCTGGGACCTGAGGGTGGTGGTTCAAAGCCAGCCTGGGGAAGGAAGGACTCTCATCTCCAATGAACCATCAGAAGACCAGAAATGGTGCTGTGGCTTAAAGGGGTAGAGCACTCGCCTTGAGCAAAATAGCTCAGGGACAGTGGCCAGGCTCTGAGTTCGAGCCCCAAGACCGACCAAGTAAAAACAAAGAAAAGAGGAAGCATCCCCAGGCAGGGACCACAGTCGCTGGCCCTGGTGCTGAACACCCGCCGAGCTCTGGTTGGGGTCTGGTTCCTGCTGGAGTCTCAGGCCGCTGGAGAGATGGGGCTTTAGTCTAGCCTGGGTTGCGGGGAAACGGAAGTCATCACCGGTCAGCTCAGCCAGCTGCTGGCCAGCATTCAATGATTGATCATTGAATTGAGAGCTGTGTGTGTGTGTGTGTGTGGGGGGGGGAATTGCAGCTCCACGGTGGGGGCGTGGCCCACCCGGTGGGCGTGGCCTGTTCAGGGGCGTGGCTTGCTGGGAGGGGTGTGGCTCCGCGGGCGGGGTGTGGGGCGTGGCTCCGCGGGCGGGGCGGGGCTCCGCGGCGGGGCGGGGCTTCCCCAGGCGTTCCGGCAGCGTTGCTCCGCCCTGGGTTCCAGCCCAGCATTATGGCTGCAGTGGTCGGGCCTGGGGCGAGGTGTGATGTCTGTGGTCTGATGCTTCTACAGGAGGCCGTATTTATTTTATGTTTTATGCTTATATAACGTCTCGTTGTATAATCCGTATTGGCCTGGACCTCGCGATTCTCCTGCCTCCTCTGCAGTGCTAGGATTACAGGCGCGCACCTCCATCCCTCCATCTTTTTCTTTTTGGTGCCAGTCCTGGGGCTTGAACTCAGGGCCTGGGCGCTGTCCTGAGCTTTTTTGCTCAAGGTGGGCGCTCTACCACTTGAGCCACAGCGCCACCTCCAGCTTTTGGAGAGCAGAGTCTCGCGGCCTTTCCTGTCCGGGCTGGCTTTGAACCTCGATCCTCGGGTCTCAGCCTCCTGAGTGGCCGGGGCGACACGGGCGCCCGGCTGGACTTCTAGTTTTTAAAGACAGAAGCATCTGCACCCTTCTTTGTCTTTTCGAGGGTGCTGGGTCTGAACGCAGGGCCCGGTGTCGGCTCGGCAGGTGCTGTGCCGCTTGGGCCACGCCGCTCTTTGCTCTTAGATAAGTCCCATTTTTGCCAAGAGCAGGGCGGGGCCTGAGGCGGCCGTCCTCTTCCCGGAGCTCCTCAGCGTTTAGATGGAGATGGAGTCTCCGGGGGTCGGGGGAGGCCCGAGCTGTCCTCCAGCCACGATCGGCTCCGGCTGGGCCTCCTCAGAGGGCACCTGGCTTCCCGGAGTCGCTGTGCTGAGGGGGTGGACTCCATGGCCAGTCATTTCTAGGGGTGCCTGTGGCCTCTTGGGGCGCATCTGGCGGGCGGGACGGTTTGTTCAGGTGCTTCTGACTTGCAGAGACTGGCCGCCGGGTCGCCCTTCCCGCCTCGGGCTCCCCGCCCGCCCCCGCGGCTCTCCGCAGGGGGAGGGAGGGCGGCGGGTAATTCTGGGCCCCCGCTGACGTCGGTGCTTTCTCTCCAAACCCAATCAGGAGCCGAGTCGGAGCTCAGCGCACCGAAGCGTGTGCTTACCTCAGCTGGGAGCTGGAGCCGGCTTTCTAAATCCGGAGGCTCGGGCGGGACTGGAGGCTGGGTGAGGAAGTCATCGCCTCCCCTTCAGACTCTACCCAGTGTGACCTGTGACCTCTGCGGGGGCGGGGGGGGGAGCAGGGTGTGTGTGTGGTGGGGGAGACTGAGGCATCTCCGGGGGGGGGGAGGACTCCGGGGTTACCGCCAGCCTCTCCCTTCGCTCCCTGGATGTTGACTGAGCCCCGACTGTCGAATGGGACTGAAGGAGAGAGTATCCACGTGGGTGCGAGCCACAGAGGCCTCCAGGAATATGACTGTCATGTGCAAAGGGCCTGGGGCAGGACCGGGCCAGGCATGTTGGGGTGTTTGAATGGGATGGAGTGACCCAAAGGGAGAGAAGCGGGGGCGATGGGGGCCTGCCTGGCTGTTGGGAAGAGGAGGGAGTCAGCCTTTATTTTTTTATTTTTCTAAATGAGCTGGGCCTGACGGTTAGAATTAAGCTGGAACTTTCTTGCTTGCTTTGTTTTGTTCTGAGTTTGCTTCCGTTCAACGTTGCTCCACATGAATGAAGATTTAGGGGTTCCTCTCAGCTTTCCCCTCCCCATGCCTGAATCTGGAACCCGCTGCCCCCCCCCCCATGGAAGGCTCCTGCAGGGTCACGCTGCACACCTGCTCACTCACCTAAGTATCTGGGATTACAAGCGTGAGCCGCCGTGCCCCATCTGCGGATTTGATTTTTGGCCCCGCTCCAGGGGGTTAGAAATGAGTCAGGTGTGGAAGGATCAGAAAGGGACTGGTGGGCAGTGGAGGGGGGGAGAGGGGGGGAGTGTCCAAATCTGTTATTCCCACGGGGGGGCACATTTTGCGGGTCTGTAGGTGAGAGACAAGTGTTACAAATGTGTCTGGGTGGTGCGAGGAAGAAGAGAAAGAAACGCCCTAAGGAAGGGGGTGGGGGGAAGTTTCTTTCGGTTGGCCCAACTGTAGAACTTTTTTGCTCTACAGGGAGGTTCGGTAGGGGTGAGTCTGAAATCGATGGTTTTGGTGTGTGTGTGGGGCGGGAGTCTGAAATAGCAGCAACCCCGATCCATTGAAATTCTGCTAATGCAGCTCATAAATGCACGCTGCCGGCCCTAGGGGCAAGCTTCCGGGAACCTTTCGGTGAGAGCCGATGCAACGGAAGTAACGTGGCAGCCGCTTTGGGGGCAGGAGGCCAAGCCCCTCCCCCCCCCCCCCGGAGATGGCAGCTGGACGCAGCCCTAGGAAGGGGCCTGAGTTTGGGGGGGGAGGGAGGGGAGGGAGGGTGGGAAGAGGCAAAGCAGCACTGTGAGGAGCCAGGGCCAAGGGCCCCGGGCTGCGTCTGTGTACAAATATTGTGTCTTATTTCCTGGGCTGCAGAATGAGACTCAGGGCAGCATTTGTAGGCCGGCTTTGGGCTTTGTTCTCTGTCAGGAAGCCAATCACAGTCAATCATGGCAGGGCTGCTTTTTTGTTGTTGATGTTGCTGTTGTCCCCAAATTACCCTGAGGATTGCTTTGCTTTTCAGAGAGAGAGGGGGGAGGGAGAGGAGGAGGGAGGAAGGGAGGGAGGGAAGCGCCTCGTCAGCAGTTTCCAGCTGGAGGCACCAGTCGGGGTAAAGATGGTGGGTTTTCTTGCCTGCCACATGGAGCTAGTTCCTGCGGTGTTCTCGGATTCGGGCTTGGGTTAGGCTGGGCTTGTGGGCTTTTTCCTTCTGGAAGGTGGATTTGTGCCTCACGTTCCCTCTTCCAGTCTGGAAAGGGACACAATATCGGGAATGCCGGCCTAAGCCCAGTGTGGTAGCGCACGCCTGTGATCCCAGCTCCCGGGAGGCAGCGAGGGGGGCCTCAAGTTGTGTTTTGTCTGAAGACAAATACAATAGGATGAGTCACCAGACCTAACTCCATGGATGGATGGACAGAGAGAACCAGAAACAGAGAAAGAGAGAGACAGACAGAAAGATGGACAGACACACACAGACAAAAGGGAAAGAGAGGAAGGGAAGCAGGGATGTGGGGGAGAAAAAGGAAAAAGAGGGAGGGGCACACACATATGCGTGCACCCCAGCCTGGGCCGGGGCGCTGTCCCTCACCACCTGAGCCACAGCGCCACTTCCGGCTTTCTGGTGGTTCATTGGAGATAGGAGTCTCATGGACTTTCCTGCCCGGGCTGGCCTTGAACCTTGATCCTCAGATCTCAGCCTCCTGAGTAGCTAGGAATCGCTGAGGGCGCAGGCGCGGTCTCCCTCCCCTTCCTGAGTTTTTGGAAGCTCATTTTAAGATGATGGCCCAGACCACTCTTCATTCTTTTGGTCCCGAATTTGATGAAGCACTTGAAAAGAAAACAAATGTGACTAGCACCCTGGTACTTAGCACAGCCCTTGGTATGCAACCGTGTGTGTGTGTGTGTGTGTGTGTGTGTGTGTGTGTGTGTGTGTAGTTCTCAGGCCTGATACAGTGGCTCCTCGTTCCTCTTCCCCTCCCCCTCCCCCTCCCCCTCCCCTTCCATCACTCCAGCCTTCGCCCTACTCTTCCTCCATCTAAATGGCACCCTGTGGTTTTGGGCCCGGCTTCTTTTATGCTGCCAAGGTTCCTTCCTGTTCTACTACAGATGAGGCCTTTTCAAGGCTGAGTACTATTCCACACAATGGACAGACCATTTCATGTGTTCATCCATTTGGCTCTATTTTGGGTCTTTCCACCTTTGGGTAGTTGTAAGTTGGGCCGTCATGATGTCCATGAGTCTTTGCCATTCTAGCTTCTAATTCTAATTTTCGATGCACAAAAGACTTCCATGTGGGGCTGGGAAGGTGGCTCAGTGGTAGAGCGCTTGCCTCGCATGCATGAGGCCCTGGGTTCAATTCCTCAGCACCACAGAAGCAGAAAAAGCCGGAAGTGGTGCTGTAGCGCAAGTGGTATAGCACTCGCCTTGAGCTAAAGAGCTGAGGGACAGCGCCCAGGCCCAGAGTTCAAGCCCCACGACGGATGTGGCTTTTAAAATAATGATTGGTGCAATTAGCCCACGTGTGCTGTCCAGCCGTGTTCAGCTATTACCAGCAAGTTCTGTGAGAAAGCCAGTGGTGGGCAGGACAGGGGTTCTTCCCATCGGCGCGCCCCGGGAGATTTTCCTTAATTCTGCGCACTCCCTTTGAATATATGATCTTAGCCACCATCATAGCGAACTGCATCGTTCTCGCTCTGGAGCAGCACCTGCCGGACGATGACAAGACGCCTATGTCGGAGAGATTGGTGAGTGCTCCCCCCCCCCGCACCCCCACCGCCAGACCCGCTGTCAGCTGGGCCCAGACACAGCCCACGAATGCAGTGTCTTCAGAATTAAATCGGTGACCTCATGTCCAATACAGACATCCCATTTTTTCTGCTCCATATTTGGATGTGTGTGTGTGTGTGTGTGTGTCCTGGGACTGGAACTCAGGGCACCGTCCCTGAGCTTTTGTGCTCAAGGCTGGTGCTCCACCACTTGAACCACAGCTCCACTTCTGGCTTTTTGGTGGTTCGCTGGAGATCAGAGTCTCGCAGACTTTCCTACCTGGGCTGGCTTTGACTGTGATCCCCAGATCTCAGTCTCCTGAACAGCTAGGATGACAGGCGTGGCCACCGGCGCCTGGGTAGCTTTTATTTACGTTTTTGGTGGCAATACTATGGTTTGACCTCAGGGCCTCTTGCTGGCCTTCAACCTTAGAGCCACGCCCCTACCAACAAGCCACACCCACATCACTGAGCTGCCTGTACTAAAGCTGAGCCACGCCCCCAATGGACGAGCCACGCCCCACATCAAAGCCACACCCCCACTGTGGGGCCACGCCCCCAACGACTGAGCCTTCAGCCTTGGCCATGCTCCCACCGCTGGCCACGCCCCCGCCGCTAGGCCACGCCCCAACCCTTCCAGCCTTGGCTTCTGTGACATTGCAGGAAACGTTTTTTCGTGGCAAAAAGCAGCCCAGTGTCTTTGGCATTTTGTTTTGTCTTGATTTTCCTTTTTCTGTCTTGCGGTTCTCTACATACCTGACAAAGTGTTCTGCTACTTGATCCACACCTCGTTTTGCCTTGAGTTGTGTTTCACATCAGGTTTGGGGGTTTTTTATTCATTGTAGTTATTGCTCAGAGCCAGCTTCCTCAGACTGCGGTCCTCCTCTGGGCCTGCTGTGTAGTGAGAGCTCAGGAGTACACCGCGCGCCCCGAGGCTCAGGCCGTCCTCCACCACAATCCCACTCAGCCTCGGGCCACCGTGATCGCATTTGCGAACCACCGCCACCAGCCTCCCCCAGTCCAGTTCCTAACTGGTTGGTTCCTTGTGACTTCCAGTAGTTTCTTCTCAGTGTCCTGAATTCCTTACACCTGGAACCGTTTCTAGAAGGCATTGAACATTCAGTGGCTCAAATGGCAGAACATTCTAGAGCTATTAGCCAGCACTAAAGTCCTTGTCCGTAACTGGCAGCATTTATTTCCTGGCTTCCCAACACCCCAGTAGGGAAGACACCTCCTTTATCGCCTTCCCAGAGGCAGAAGAATGTGCAGGTCAAGATGACAGGGGTCTCAGAGCGTTGGGGGTCTGCTGGGAGCCTGGGCCGGCAGGAAGAGCGGAGAAGGGGTGCCATTCCCCAGTGGACACCCCAAAGAGCTGGGCTGATGAATTCCACCTAAGAACCAGCCATGTGAGGGGGGGCGGGGAGAAAGTCCAGAGTTGGGGGTCCAACCTCAAAGCCTTTGAATTCTAGATGTTAAGAAGTGACCCCTGAAAGCCCCGCCTTTCCCGTAGAACTTTCTATAGCAGTAGACGTGTTTTACTCATATCCTGTCCAACATCTCAGCCACTTGGAAAGTCGGACTGCAGGATTGCATTTAGAGGTTTATTACATTGAAACTTACTTAAGTTCCAACAGCTGGCTGAGAGGTAGGGGAGATTGGCCCATAGGAATGAAAGAGGTTGTTTTCTAGAAGCTTCCAGAAGTTTCTAGAAAACAGGGAGGCGGGTGCCCGATCTCCAGCTGGGTCCATGGCCCTCTGCCAGGACGTTCACTTTGCCCTCGGTCTCTCTTTTCAGGATGACACGGAACCATATTTCATTGGAATTTTTTGTTTCGAGGCTGGAATTAAGATCATCGCCCTGGGGTTTGCCTTCCACAAAGGCTCCTACCTGAGGAACGGCTGGAACGTGATGGACTTTGTCGTGGTGCTAACGGGGTAAGGCCTCTTCTCTTCATCTCACCAAAGAATGGCCAGGCTTTGGAGCCGGGGTGGTCGCTGTGGTCCAGGCTGGACTCGGGAAGGCCCAGCCCCTGGGCTCCTCTCTGCTTTCTTCCCACCATCGCCTCCCGTCCCCCGGCGGTGCATCGCCATGCTGGCTTTTCGTCTTTGAAAGCATTGCTTACTGGAGTCAGCGGCTCTCAGAGTGTTTGGCACGTGCCGTTCTAATTAATTCTCACAACCCCGTGGAGTTGGAAATATCATATACTCCTCTGAACGCTGATAAAGCTGAGCGAGCGCGTGAGAGAGGGTGGGGGGGGGAGAATGTTTCCCGAGGTTGCCCAGTTGGTAAGAGCAGGAGCTGGGGCTTGAACCTAAGCTTCTGGGTTTCCAGATTAGAAGCCTTTGACCATTGCCCAGACCCAGTCTCCTTTCTCTTTTGCTTGAAGATTGTTTTCCCCTCTGTATTTCAAGTGTGTAAGAGGCTGTGGTTGTGACTATGGAGAAAGCCAATCTAGACGAGGTTGTGTCTTTGAAGGGTTTTCTGAGTCAGGCAGTGGTGGCTTACACCTGTGATCTTAGCTACTCAGGAGGCTGAAAGCTGAAGGACCGTGGTTCAAAGCCAGCCTGGACAGGAAAGTCCATGAGACTCTTATCTCCAATGAACCATCAGAAAATCAGAAGCTTTAAGGGGTACAGCACTAGCCTTGAGTGAAAGAGCTCAGGGACAGCGCCCAGACCCTGAGTTCAGGCCCCAGGACTGACCAAAAAGAAAAAAGAAAAAGAATATTTTGATCAGAAGTCAATGAGCCATAGTTGAAGAGTGAACATTGATAGACCCCCTCCCAGAGACCTCGTGGAAGCGAATTCTTCCTGCTATAGTAAAAGATCCCCAAATAGCCAATGACTTACACACTTGGCTTCCCACCTGCTCTTCCTGGCATCTTTCCTCCTGCGGTGATTGAGGGACCTTTACCCTCACATCTTGTGGCTGCCCAGCAGCCTCAGCTTCAGGAACTCCACATTGGTCCACACTGAGCCGTTGGAAGAGAAAGAAAATTTTGGGAGATGGGAGTTAAGAAAGTTCTACAGGATTGGGGGGAAGCAATTTGGCTTGTATCTCTTCCCTCCGTATTGGCTTGTATCTCTTCCCTCCGTATTGGCTTGTATCTCTTCCCTCCGTATTGGCTTGTATCTCTTCCGTCCGTATTGGCTTGTATCTCTTCCGTCCGTATTCCATTGGATAGGGCTGGGGGCGTGGCTAGCTGGTGGGGCGTGGCTAAGCCCCGAGGTGTGTGACTAAGCAGGGTGGGGCTAAACAGAGGAAAGGCGCTAACTTGCTGGGCGTGGCTACCCGGTGGGTGTGGCTAAGGTGGGTGTGGCTCGGTGGTAGTGCACCTGTCTACTGTACAGTATCTGGAATTCAACCACATAGCAATATACCCCTCCACCAAAGGAAGCAGGGAAATGCCAGCTTGATGACTACCCAGACATTTGTGACACCCCAATATTTACATGACCACCATGTACCGATTGCTGATTGGCTCCTTCTCTGTCCCCCTGTGCTCTTCTCTGGCAGACATTTTCCCCATAGTTCTCTCCTCAGACCCAGTGGCTTTGACTGGGAGAACATTTGTGAGAATAATTCAAGTCTTCACCTTCAAACCCCTTTCCCCCTTTTAACAGTTAGTACTGGGGTTTGAACTCTGGGCTTGTGATTGCTAGGCTGATACCTTACCACTTCACACACACACACACCAGTAATATTTGCTTTAGTGACTTTTTTCATATAGACTTAGTTTTTGCTAGGGCTGGCCTTAGGCCATGCTCTTCTTCCTCTCTAGTAGCTGGGTTGACAGTCAGATGCCACCACACCTACCTTATTGGTTGAGATGAGGGTCTCACTCACTTTTTTCCTGGGCCAATCTCAAAATGTAATCTTCTTGATGTCTGCCCCCAAGTAGCTGGAATGACAAGCATGAGCCTCCATGCCCAGCTTGAAGAGAATAGCTACATCACGCCGGGCTGTCGGTACAGGCCTCGGGGCCTAGCAATCTATCATGAAGACGCTGCTCAGCTCTCAGGACCTTGGTACTCACTGAAGACCCTTAGTTGATTTTTAAATTTTTGTCAGTCCTGGGACTTGAACTCAGGGCCTGGGCGCTGTCCCTGACCTTTTTCACTCAACGCTAGCTCTTTGAGCCACAGCACCACTTTGGTTTTCTGGTGCTTCATTGGAGATAAGAGTCTCACAAACTTTCCTGCCTGGGCTGGCTTTGAACCCTGATCCTCAGATCTCAGCCTCCTGAGTAGCTGGATGACAGGCTCAGGAGCCTAAGCTGATTTTTGCTGGACCTCAAATGCTTCGTCTGTCTTGGGATCTTGGCAGGTTCCTGGGCAATTGTCTCTTCTGTTGCTAGGAATCTCAGCACATCTTTGGTACCATGAAAGCATGACAGAGGTAAAGGTGGTAAAGAAGAGAGGCTTTCAGTAGCCACCCCCAGCTTGCTTTGCTGATGGGCATCTACTATGTCCCGGGCCCCGTTCTAAGCTCAGGAGACTCAGCAGTAAAGAAAACAGACAAAAAGTTTCCTGCTTTATGGGAGTGGTGGAAATCAACTGAGTGAATGAATGAATGAGTGAGTGAATGAATTCTGGATGAACAAATGAGTTGAGCTGTGTTCATGAAGTGAAGGCTGCCAGAGACAGGGTGGGGCAGTGAGGAGCAGGGAGCTGAAGACTCCATGGACAATGAGCTGGAGAAGAGTCAGGCCCAGGGAAGAGCAAGTGCAAAGGCCCTGAGGCCGGGAAGCCAGAGCCGCTGGAGAGGTGAGTGATGGGAAAATGAGAAGGGCTGAGTAAACCTGCTATGCAAATTGAGCCCTCATTCCCAGTGTCCCCTCACTGCAAGAGAGGAGACCAGACAAAGCCTCCTGTGTTTAGTAGCGACTTCATTCTTTTCAAGTATTTTCAGGCAATCACAGTTGAATCCGGGTCTGCAGAATGCTGGCTATGAGGCACTGTCTTTATATAAAGACATCTCGCGACGTTTCCATGCTAGTTCCTCTGAGAACGTGTTCTTTTGTACGTAAGAGTTATTTGGAGCCCGAGATGAGTTCTCCGTCCATTTTCCCTGCTGTATAGTAATCCACGGTGTGCACATTCCATCGCATGTTTATGCGGCTCAGTTGCTTCCAGCTTCCTGGGCTATTTGGAATCAAGCTGTTGCCTCTTTTTTTGTGTGGTGAGCGATTTTCTCTAAGAGAGGAATTGCTGAGTCGTGTGTTGTGCGCATCCTCAGGCTTTACGAGCTGTTGCCAAATTGCTTTGCAAAGAGGTTATGCGGATTTAGGCTCCCTGGAGGCTGACTTTGCCGGCAGGAAGTAGCCTTAAAAAACCTTGATTTTTTTTTTTTTTATATTTTAGCAGAGTGTGGTAGTGCACGCCTGTAAGCTCAGCTCTCAGGAGGCAGAGGCAGAGGATCATGGGTTTTCATTCCTGCCTGGGTACATAGTGAAACCTGGTTTCCAAAAGGCAAAAACAAAGCCTGACTTTTTAATAACGTGGCTCTTGAGAGACCTGAGGAAGCTTCTAGAGTGTTGAGCATGTCGTTTCAATAAATGGTCATGAACTGGGAAGACAAAGTGATTTTTGTCCGCTACCTGTAACAAGGCGGGCGTATGAGTCAGTCTTGGTGTTGCTGTGAGAGAAACAGTTTAAAGGAGTGAAGGTTTTTGTCCATGGCTGGCCGGCTCGATGGTTTCTGGGCTGTAGTGAGGCAGAGTAACATGGCAGCTGGGCATAGAGGACCAGAGCGGCTCACCTCATGGTGGACAGGAAGCAGAGGGCAAAAGGGGCGGGACAAGGCCTGTATTTCCAGGCCACGCCCACATGGCCCTATTTCTCCTGACCAGACTCTGCTTCTTACTTCTCACTCCCTTCCAGCACTGGTAGTTGATTATGAATCCATCAATGGATTGATCCAATTATCAGGCCGGCACCATCATGAATGAATCAGTGAATCACCTCTGTGTGTGTGTGTGTGTGTGTGTGTGTGTGTGTGTGTGTGTGTGTGTTGGTCCTGGGATTTGAACTCGGGATCTGGGTGCTAACCCTGAGCCTCTTTGTGCTCAAGGTTAGTGCTCTACCACTTGAGCCACAGCACCACTTCTAGGGTTTGTTGTTGTTGTTCTTTTGGGTAATTCATTGGGGATAAGAGTCTCAAAGACTTCTCCTGCCCAGGCTGGCTTTGAGACTCCATTCTGACATCTCAGCTTCCTGACAAGCTAGGATTACAGGCATGAGACGCTGCACCAAGCTCTCAAAGAGTAAAAGAGAACAGAAGACCAAGGGTGTCACAGGACTTGGCCAGAGCCCCCCACCTCTCATGCTGTCCTCCTTTTCAATTAATCAAACAAACATGTGGCCAGCCCACTCTTTCCCTTCTTTCCTCCTCCTTCCTTCCTTCCGTCCTCCCTCCCTTCCTGTGATGCTCTCCTGAGCTACCTGCATATAAAAACAGCATTTGGAAACCAGCAGCAAAATGCAGCCATTGTCCTAATTCTCAAGACCCCACGCTAGCACCTCTGATGTATCTGTCCTTCTTGGTTCTAACAGGATACCCCCTCCCATAAATCTCTCTTTTGCAAATATGTTTTATTGTTATTATGAAGATGAGGTCCAGAGTGAGAAAATGTAGAACTGGGAGCCATCTTCAAGGCTGCTCTCACTATACTAAAACCATCCTCAGGCAGGCTCCAGGGCTCACACCTGGCATCCTAGCTACTCAGGAGGCTGTGATCTGAGGATCGAGGTTCAAAGCCAGCCATGGTAGGAAAGGCCGTGAGACTCTTATCTCCAATAAACCACCAGAAAACCGGAAGTGGTGCTGTGGTTCAAGTGGTAGAGCGCTCACCTTGAGCTGAAGAGCTGAGGGACAGCGCCCAGGCCCAGAGTTCAAATCCATGACAGACAAACACAAAACCCATCCTTCATGG